GTACGATCCGTGATTGCCATAGTTATCGTAACCGCCCAGCCTTTCATGCATACGTCTCCTGTCTGACCTACGTTCGACCCAATCGACCTTACCCCAAGACGGAGCGCTTGCCTTTCCAGTATTGCTAAGGCCTTACGGTCAGGGCCGCCGACCCTGAAGGGGACGATCACGACGATGACGGCGGCAGCAACTACCACGCCGACTTGGGTCAGAGTCTCCAGGGATGCTTTCGGGGGGTCATTTCGGAGCGTTTTCGGTGTTCTCTGGGGAGCACTTTGGGGGTCTTTGGGCGCAAGCCCAAAAAATGGGCCCGCGGTGGCACCGAATTGTTTCCGGCAGGGCCGCTGTGTGATCATGGGGTTGGACTTGGACAGATTTGTTGTTGGCTCCTCTGGGTCCAACGCGCAGTCGCAGCCGTAGTCATAGGCACAGCCATCGTCGTGTCCGTAGACCTTACCATCGTCGCAGCCAGAGTCGTAATCATAGTCGTAGTCGTAGTCGTACTCGTAGTCATAGGCATAATCATCCCGTTCTTGGCTATCGTTAGGGCGTCGTTCTCCCCCCGTCTGCTCCGTTTCAGGAACACAACGCACCCAGTAGTAGCATAGAAACACATTCAGCGCAACAAGAAGATTCTATGCGCGTCTATTCAGGCATTACCTCCAGTTGAGGACGGCTTGTATGTGGAAATCGTATATTTCTTTACATGGTATATAAGGAAACGCATGTGCTGAAACACGTTCTTAAAAGCCATACTATCAGATGTTCTTACATACTGGCTCACAGTGGGCGTGTGGGAGAGTTCCCCTTCTCTTCCCTCTCTCCCCCAGGCTCCGTTCCCCCCTCGCTCTTTCTTTCTCCTTGCCCCCTCCATCTCCCCTGAGATCCGTCGTAGCGAAAAATATACTGAAAATCCGCGCCCGGAGCCCCGGACCCCATCTTGCTGCGTCATGTTCCGAGCCGGACCGGTCTGTGAGGGCCCCGGGACCCGAAAACAGGCGAAAACGCCCGGCTTGAATGAAAATTGAATCGCCAGGATCTCAGGACCCCCTTTGCCCTCCGAGCTCCCCCCCCCAGAGATCCGATGTCGTGATTTTTTAATTACGGGGTCCCGGGAAGTCCCGACCCTTTCCCCAGGGCCGGTTTTTCATTCTGAGTCGTTTTTCCCCAAACAGCTTGCTGAACGGGGTGCTGTTGTGATAGAAGCTAACTACGGCCGAGGGAAGACGGAGCAGAGACATCCTCACAAAGATTTGATGGTCCGGGCCGTTTCGCTTGAGACCTCCTCACAACTCTCGTTTCTGAGTTGGCCGGGATTGGCCGGGATTGGCCGTATCGCCTGAGACATCCTCGAAAAGTTGCGCTCCGGGACGCCGCGCGAGAGGTGGTCCGGGCCATTTCGCTTGAGACATCCTCGAAACTCTGAGCCACGAGGTGCCGTGCGAGAGGTGGTTCGGGCCGCTTCGCCTGAGACATCCTCGAAACTCTGAGCTCTGAGATGCCTTGCGCGAGGTGGTCCGGCCCGTTTCGCCTGAGGCATCCTCGAAACTCTGATTTCGGAGATGCCTTGCGCGAGAGGTGGTCCGGCCCGTTTCGCCTGAGACATCCTCGAACTTCTGAGCTCTGAGATGCCCTGCGCGAGGTGGTCCGGCCCGTCTCGCCTGAGACATCCTCGCAACTCTGAGCTCTGAGATGCCGTGCGCAAGGTGGTCCAGCCTGTTTCGCGCAAGACATTCTCGCAACTCTGAGCTCCCAGATACCGCGCAAGAGGTGGTCCAGCCTGGGGGGCCAGAAGACCACATGTTGAAGACCACATGTTACATATCCCCCCTGGGACCCTGGGAGCCCGCCTGAGACATCCTCGAACTTCTGAGCTCTGAGATGCCTTGCGCGAGAGGTGGTCCGGCCCGTTTCGCCTGAGACATCCTCGAACTTCTGAGCTCTGAGATGCTGTGCGCAAGGTGGTCTGGCCTGTTTCGCACAAGACATTCTCGCAAGACATTCTCGCAACTCTGAGCTCCCAGATACCGCGCAAGAGGTGGTCCAGCCTGGGGGCCCAGAAGACCACATGTTACATATCCCTCCTGGGAGCCCCAGGAGGCCCCAGAGAGCTCCAGGAGGCCGCAGGACGCCCAGGACAGGCCCCAGGGGTCCCCAGGAGATTCCCAGGAGGCTCCCAGGAGGCCCCAGGAGGCCCCCTATCAGAACGTGTCAAGTTAATACGCATCCGGTGCCGATTCGTTGATTTTTCCTGCTCTTGTGCCTTTTTTGAGGGGCCCAAGCGGCCACAGGTTAGATATACCCCCTGGGAGCCCCAAGAGGCTTCAGGAAACCCCAGGTTGAGTTCAGAAGGCCACAAGAGGCCCAGGAGGAAGCCCCAGGAGGTCCCCAGGAAGCCCCAGGAGGCCCCAGGAGGCCCCCGCAACTCGGAGCTCTGAGACGCCGCGCTCGAGGTGGTCTGGCCCGTTTCGCCTGAGACTTCCTCGCAGCACGTTTCGCC